TGACTGAATGAAAGATTGAGGAAGAGCCCTTGGACTTTGGGGTTAGTGTTTTGTTCATTAAGTATCCCCAACCCATCTCAGAGCTATCTAACATGCACTTATGGAATTGAATTGAATATATTTTATAAGACTTTTATGACCTGAGATTGATAATTATATCTCTTTTGCTGAAATTAGGCAGTTAGAAGGCATTCAATAAGTACTTGCTAAAAGATTGATTCACTCATTAACTTTCTAAACAACTGGATAGGAAAAATTAAATCCCTTTTCTTAGGAGGACTATTATTAACATATTTAAATCAATAGGTATCAAGCATTCAGTTGAGTCTTACGCAACCTTCAAAGTGATAGATGAAAAAGTAGAATACAAAGTTACACACAGGTGGGGGCCTTCAAAAAGTTCATGGGAAAGTGAAACTGGAGGATAACGGGATTTTTTCACAAACTTTTGAAGCCCCCTTCATACAATGTGTGTAGAAGTGTAACTTAAAGAATACTCTGAAGTATCACTGTTCTCCCACAGAGACACTCTAAGGAAAAATATAGTTTGCAAGCCTGAATTATGGATATATGTATATATATTGTTGTTGTTAAGTGCCGTCGAGTCGATTCCAACCCATAGCAACCCTGTATAGGGTTTCTGAGGAGTAGCTGGTGAGCTTGAACCGCCTACCTTGCAGTTCAAATGGCTTTGCAGTCTGGCACATTAAGCCACAGCGCCACACCAGGACTCCTTTTATATATATAGATGTCTCCATTTAAGCCTTTGTCTTGGTGTTCTAGAGACTAAAGAGAGGATCAGAAAAGGGAACGCTGATCTGACCTCCATCCACTTTTCTTTCTAGAGCCATAAAGAGGTTGCTGTGTCCAGGGAATCCAGTGTCGGGTTACCCAACAAACAAGACAAGCACCGGTTTACTTGTACTTACTTACTAATCTGTAGTGAACAATTTCACTTTTTTTCAACACATCAGAAATTCTGCTTCTAGGTATAACTGTTTCTTTCCCAACCCTACAGCATCTTCCTACAGAATTAAAGGCTCTTTTCACATTCACACCTGACAGGGATGGAATATGGTGACACCTCTAAGTCTACTGCTGCCACCTTGCCAATCCATCTCATTGGGAGTCTTCCTCTTTTTCCCCAACCCTCCACTTTACTAAGTATGATGTCCTTCTCCAGGAACTAGTGCTTCCTGATAATAAGTCCAAAGTATGAGAGATGAAGTCTGGCCATCCTGGCTGCCAAGGAGTATTCTGGGTGTACTTCTTCCAACACAGATTTGTTTGCTCTTTTGGCAGTCCATGGTACTTTTAATATTCTCCTCCAACACCATAGCTCAAATGCATCAATTCTTCAATTGTTCAACTTTCACATGCATATGAGGTTATTAGAAATACCATGGCTTGGATCAGACACACCTTAGTCCTCAAACTGACATCTTTGCTCTTAAACACTTTGAAGAGGTCTTGTATAATAGATTTGCCTAATGTAATACGTTGTTTGATTTCATGACGGCAGCTTCCGTAAGTGTTGATGGTTGATTCAAGAAAAATGAAGTCTTTGACAACTTTAAGCTTTTCTCCATTTATATGGATGTTGTTTATTGGTCCAGTGCTGAAGATTTTTGTTTTCTTTATATTGAGGTACAAGTCAAACTGAAGGCTGTGGTATTCATCAGTAAGTATTTTAAGTCCTTTTCACTTTCAGCAAGCAAAGTTGTATCATCTGCATATTACAGGTTGTTAGTGAATCTTCCTTCAATCCTGGTGCCACATTTTTCTTCATATAACCCAGCTTCTAGGATTATTTGCTAAGCAATAAGTATGGTAAAAGAATATAGCCTTGTTTTGTTTGAACAACTGCCTCTTGGTCTATGTACAGAGTCCTCATAAGCACAATGAATTGTTATGGAATATTCATTCTGCACAATTTTGTCCATAGCTTGTCATGATCCATAGAATTGAAAGCCTTTGCATAGTCAATAAAGCACAGATAAACATATTTTTGGTAGTCTCTGCTTTCAGCCAAGATCCACGTCCTCTTCTGAATCTGTCTTGAACCTCTGAAAGTTCCCTGTCAATGTATGGTTACAGCCATTTTTAATTGTATGCAATATTAATGATATTGTCCAATATTTTCCACATTCTATTAAGTCACCTCTCTTTTGAATGGGAACAGATATGGATCCCTTCCAGTAAGTTAGCCAGGTACTTGTCTCCCAGATTTCTTGGCATAGATGAGTGCCTCCAGTGTCACATCAGTTTGTTGCAAGATTTCAATTTTTATTCCATCAATTCCCGGTGCCTTGTTCTTTGTCAATGCCTTCAATGTATCTTGGACTTCATCCTTCAGTATCATTAGCTCTTGATCATATGCTACCTCTTGAAATGGTTTGCCATGTTTCAGTATTCACTATTCTGGTGCTGACAGTGTTCCACTGCTATTCATAAAGTTTTCAGAGAGTAAATATTCGGAAGTAGTGTGTCTCTCCTTCTTCCCACTCTGTCTTTGTCTAGAAGCTCAGCTGAAACTTGTCCATTGTGGATGACTCTGCTGATATTTAAAATACCCATGGCATAGCTTCCAGAATCACAGCAACATGCCACCCACCACAGCATGACAAACCGACAGATGAATAGGGGTTGACAGATGATAGGGCGGATTAAAGTTTTGAGGTTTGTTTTTGTTTTTTCCCATCTTAACTTTCTAACATTTTTGCAAATAGTATAGTTATAATTTTTCAAAAGTCCATTTATTATTTAACTAATTGGAAATGTCTTTCCAGTTTCTCTCTTTTCAGATCCCAAGATCCCAACACATACACACAAGTGAATCCCATCACTGCCATGTTACTTTATCATTGATTGATTCCCACCTCCCAAAGGAATTACAGTAGCATAGTGGGTTACAAGGCTGTTAACTTAAAGATCTGAAGTTCAAGCCCTCCATCTGCTCCCTGGAAAAAAGATGAGGCTTTTTCGTAAAGACGTACAGCCTCAGAAACCCTATACAGGGTTGCCATACTCAACTCCATGGCACATAGCCACCAACACCACCACCCCAGTTGGTGGGGTAATTCAAACCCACCAAGCTGCTCCTCGGAAACCCTAGACAGGTTCATTATGAGTCAGAACCTACTCGATGGCACTTAACAATAACAGTAAATACAAGTTAGGCTGTGAGTGCAGTGAGATACTGCTGCCTTTGGCACATCTTCCCGGTAGGTATTGCTTCTCTAATAAACCTCTTTTACACACATTTCATAACTTTCTAGTCTTCTGTAGCCAACCAGGTAACATCGAAACCAGCTCGACAGCACTTAACAACAACAGTTGGCAGGACTGGGTAGTACACATTCCAGTACATAGTCTTTTCCCAGAGCAGACAAATCTAGTTGGTCTGTAGAGGGAGCCAAAGAAAGAGAATCTTTAAAGATTTTCAGATCTAGTTCAAGTCCCTTCCTGAGATTTAGCCACATGGCCTGCTATACTTTGTGTCTTTATAATAAATCTAACCCATTATTCATTAAACCAAGCTCAAGTTGGTTTCTGTTACAACAATATAGTTTTGGCTGGACCCAAACTCAACCAACACACTGCCATCAAGTTGATTCTGACTCACAGGGACCCTAGACAGAGTTTCTGAGAATGTAAATCTTTATGGATTAGAAAGGCTCATCTTTCTACTGAGAAGCAGCTGGTAGATTTGAACTACTGACCTTTCAGTTAGAAGCCCAATACATGACCCACTATGCTACCACGGTTGTTGTTGTTTTAAGTTTTTATTGTGAATTGTGAGATAGTTTACATGGAAAAACATCAGTTTTACATTCATCCTATTTTATTTTGTTTTATTGCAATGATTACAATCCCCTCCATGCATCATCATTCAACAGTATTTCCTTCTATTCCCTCTGGGGTTTTTTTTGTATGTACACAAAAACACTCAGGAATATATAATCATTTAAACAGCCAAAGGGCACATTCTGCAAGCCTGCTTCTTGGCCACCTGCACACAGCCTTTCTCTTCCCTTGAGTCTAGAGTCCTCAGCTGCTCTCTCTCTCCATGTCCTCATCTCTGCTTCTATCTCTGGTGTTGCTGGTTCTCTGGATAGGGTTCCACATTTTGCTCCTGCTCACCTCCCTTGATGGTCCTAGGGTCCTCTTTTCCACTACCAGTGCTGCTTCATAGAGTGCACCAGGTAGTAATGAAAACTTACATAGGCATTAACAAAAACTGCAAGAAGTTACAGGGTTTAACACCTAAGGTTAATCACACTTTCTCTAATACTCTTCCTTCCTTAAGCCTGCTAAGGTATCAATATAGGCTGGGCACTCAGCTGATGGAATCAAGGGATTGGATTACAGGTATAACAAGAGAGGGAAATTGCTTTATTACCGTATTCATCTCGATACCTTCCTGTTTATCAATAATACCTCTTGACCAAAGGAAGATGAGGTTTTCCTGAGCTTTACAAATCACATTCTGGATTGCCTGCTTAGACTTCAAAGCAATGACAACATCACGCCCCTCATGCTCTATGAGTCCTGAAGCAAATAAAGCCATTAGTAAGCAACTGGTGCAATAACCGTAGTATTTGTATAATAGTTTTTAATTTCCAAAGTATATACACAAGCACCATTTTATTCTGGTTTCACATAAAATCTATGAGACCAGCAAATTGACAAATTATTTTCATCTCCTTTTTATGGATGAGAAAGTTGTTAACTGACTTTGCCTAACAGAGAGCTGGTCATCACTCTCTGCTTTACCTCCATGGTGTCTCCTATATCTCCCCATTATGGTGATCCTTTTATAGAACGGAATCAAGAAAACTACAGTATTCCAACTGACCTAAAATGCAATCTAAGGCAATAGTTCCTATGCCCCTAATCTTTAAAATTATAGAAATAAAATTGTGCCCAAATGTAAGTGGCACCAATGGGACCTGGATTTTCGGAGGCAATGATCAAATATTTTGACCTGTTGTCTTTAAAAATGATACTTGCACTAATTAGAGCATGTGATTCCCATTTAGATTTGGGAAGTATGATTCCCATAAATCAAGATGGGAGTTTATGTGGTTATTGTAATACCAAATGATTTTATAGTCTTAAGTTTATAATAACTTCCATTTATTGAGAGTCCAAGCTGTACCAGGCTCTTTACCATATACCAGTAAATACTGTTATTGCACTGAGAGCCCGGCTCACAAACCTTTTATAAGAAAATCAAACTCAAGAAGCTCTACACTAAAGGCCTAGGTGCTTTATTCTGTGTGCTTGGAGTAAAGCAAGTACTCAAGTCAAGAATGACTGTAAGAGGCTCAAGAAATGACATCTCTCGCAACCCCACATCCCTGAGTATCCTTGAAAACTAGAAACAAAACAAGAAGACGTTTGTCAAAGATATTTTCATGTTCTTTTCTTGCAACTTTAAGGCACCAGTCCTTACCACCTTATTATATAAACCTTCCATATTGTTCCCCATTTTTCCTTCCTCTGTGCTCTAGTAGCAACTAAGAGGGTGCCTAACTTTCTGCAATTATCTATTATAATTTTATTATAATTATAATTGTTATTATAATAGATAATTGCAGAAAGTTAGGCACCCTCTTAGTTGGTATGTTATACCTTCCCCCAGATTCTATGCTGTGTAAGGTCTGGGTGTATTCATCCTTGCATTCTGATCCCTAGCCCATCATATGTATATAATAAATGCTTATTGGATGAAAAAAAATGAGTGAAAGCAAATCAAAGAATGAAGTTACCTTCCTCTGGTTAAATGATAGGATAACAAGATGTGACTTGAGGACCTCTGATGGCATAGTAGGTTAAGTATTGGGCTACTGACCTCAGGGTTGGCAGTTCAAGACCACCAGCCACTTAGCTGGAGAAAGACAAGGTTGTCTGTTCCCATAAAGATTTACAATCTTGTAAACCCTACAGAGCAGTTCTACTCTGCCCTATCTGTTAGCTCTGGGTTGAAATTGACTCGATGGCAGTGACTGTGGTTTGGGTTCTGGCTTTGAGGATATCAGATACTTAAAATACTTACCCAGTTCTTTTACAGCATTTCGCTTGTTGGTTTCCAAGATAACATATAATTTCTGTAAACAATTAAAAAAATCTCATTCATTTCCTATTACACTAGGTGTGTGCGTTTTTTTGTTCTGTTTTGTTTTGTTTTTTTACTGTGAGAAAAAAGAAATATGGTAGAGGCAATTTCATTTTGTTTATGATTTTGGCTGGCATGGTTACTGTACCTAATACTTCTCAGAATAGACTAGTGTGTGATGTACTGTTCAAGAAGGAGTGCTCTCACAGACAGAGACCACTTAGCCAGCCAAGCAGGAGCACTGAAGCAAGCAACTGATGAGAAAACATGATGTCAAGTCATTCAGACTTCCTACAGAGAACTTCTATAACTGAAGAAATAGTTTCATTGCAGGCCTAACCAATCTCTGTTCAGTCATACAAGACATCTTTGTAGAAAATCCTACCCCACCTAAGGGCCTGTTCCTCATGTGACTTTCTCTCCAGCTCTGAGTCTTTCTAGAGCCTGCATTTGGCCACACCAACCTGCAGGGGACCAAAAACCTGGATTGTCAGATGCAAATGGATGAAATCCTGCACCCAAATAGCATATGGCTTAGTTCTAGTGATTAACACAGTGCTTGCAACAATGTTCTCAGGCATAGAAACGATTGTGAGGAAGTTTCAGGACCAGGCAGTGTTTCTTTCTGTTGTACATAAGGGTTGCTATGAGTGGTAACTGACTGGACAGCACCTAATAGTGACAGTGCTAGTGATAGGGAACAAAAGCTTTGTTAGCTAAAGTTACAGCAGTTTAATAATCTTCTCAGAAAGTTCTTTGATTCAGGAATAGCCCATGAAATAAACCAATCACTCTGAACAGAAAATGTTGGTATAGAATGTTTATTAAATTGCTTTTTCTCACTTATTAACATTGAATAACTATTTGGATGATGACAAATTACTAACCAACCTGTCTGTGGTCTCAACATACTGTGATCCAAACCTGCTTAGATAGGAGCACAGATAGCAGGTAATCCCTCCCTCATACAAAACCAGACTAAGAGCAACACTGTAAGACTCTGGTAAGCTGGTACTGCCAGGAGAGTCTAGGAATTGACCCTGGTGACCAAGTGTACAAACTTGATGGCCTCTTACATAGATGTGGCGGCTCCAAATGTGAGCTGCCATCAGCCAGTTTCTTGAACCACATCACTTTCAAAATAAACACCAGTCTGATATCTTAACACATTACCAAACAGGCATTTAAATCTTCACGGAGGCCTCCTAAAAAAATTCCCAAAGGGGATTCATTTAATCCCTTTCACATCAGATCAATTGTGCCCAAATCTCTGTTGTTGTTGTTAGATGCCATTGAGTTGCTATCAATTCATAGCGACCCTATGCACAACAGAATGAAACACTGCCCTGTCCTGGGCCAACCTCAAATCTCTGTGACTTCCCCTAAGCTTCTCAGACCAGCTTGTTTCAGTTTAGTGATAATAACAGATGACATGCAAAGAGTCCAGACTGTTCTCTTTCTTGCAGGCCCTCTTATAACATAATGAATCTCATATAACAACTGAATCTCCTTCAACAGTTAGAATGTATCTAGTAGAAGTGTTCTTAAAAGAAATTAATTTAAAAAATTTAAAAAAGATTCACAGCCTTAGAAACCCTATATTTTAATGAATTAACAAAACACATGCTTTCAGATGCTGTTCTTAACACCTAAAAAATTCCTCTTAAAATGAAATTTATGAATTTAAGAAATGAATATGTATTAAGTGATTCTTCCCCACCCCCACCCCTCAAATGACCAATGCTGGTTTCTCACCTTATATATTGATTCTCGGCTAGAAATTTGTTTAATTAATAGTTTGGTATCCTCTTGACTTTTGACATAGCCTTTTGTAATACTATACATTAGGCTAAGGCGTTTTTTAATGAGCACATCTACAATATTTAGCAAGAACGGTATTATTACCTGGAATAATGGGAAGGGGAAAAGAAACAACAACGTGTAAATTAGAAGAAAGGAAGCAAAGGTTCTAAAAGTGTGGCTTCCCACACTTTGACTAATAATAAGGGCTCAGTATCCTTTTAGGAGAGAATGTGTATAAGCACTCAGATTTATTTTCTACAACACAGTTTCTGTACATGTAGGATTTTATCCATCCACTTCTCATCTCAGTATCTCAGCAGTAAAAGTTGGACAATAGGGAAGCCACTTCCTTGTGTCTTGTTTGTTATAAATAAATTATAATAATCTTCCCTGACTGAGAAAACTCATGTGTGCATTTGTTATGGTTGCTAAGTGCCACGGAGTCAGTTCGGACTAACAGTGGCCCTGTATAGAGTTTCCAAGGAGTTGCTGGTGGGTTTGAACCACCACCTCGCAGCTAGAAGTCCAGTGTTCATATTACAGCATCACAAATGATATTAATAAATATTTTCTTTAGGACAGTATGTTTTCTGAAAACAAATAGAAAAATAAGATATTTTCATTGGGATGACATCAGGGTAATAGAAGGCCGGTCAGCTTTAGCCCCACAGCTTTACATAAACTTGTCTCTGAGTCACTCTGCTTTAAATGGCACCAAGATTTTCATTTATTCACTCAACAAATAAGTACTAAGTACTTACCATATGCTGGACTCCTGGTATGGATAAGCCCTGGACTAGGAACCACCCACCAGCTCTAGGGCACTTAACAACAATATGCCAAGTAGGAGTCCCGTGGTGGTGCAAACTGCTTAACTGCCTGGGGCAGCTACTAAGAGTCTGGGTGTGGAGTAAAAGGATAAGCACTCAACCTCAAGGTCAGTTTGAACTGCAAGGTTGGTGGTTCAAATGCACCAGCCACTCCTTGAAAACCCTATACAGGGTCACTTTGCAACGACACACACCACCACAAGAGGAACCTAGGAAGTGTGGAGAAGCTCAAAAGAATGAGGTGTTTGTCACAGGAGAGACTTCTGCCAAAGATGCAGGCCAGACTCCTTTTTTGCCCCCTGTTTAGTGCTTATTCAGAACTGACTTTCAAAAGTATACCACAGGAAGTCTGTAGGCCCCTTCTTCCTTCCTCCCCCTTCTTCTCACAGCATGCTCCCAGGAAAAGCATTCATTCAGGCTGGTCCTAGAAACATCCATAGAGTAAGTTCCTAAATGCCTCAAACGTAAAGATTAGCAAGATCATGTTTAAGAAGTCTCCCCATTACCTTGTGTCTGTTGAAGCATGATTTTGTAAATGTCAACCAATAAGAGTTTTCTACTTGTAAGTTCCTGGATCCCCTGTATTTAAGCTCTGTGAATAATTGCAGTACTTGCACTACAGTACTTTGGTAAGTCCTCATGAAGGGCTGCCCAATTCTTGATTGTTTTGCTCCTTCAGTAAATTCTTTCATTTTTACAGAAGCACCACCTTGTCTAAGGTACTTCTAGAAAATCAGCCATTGAAAACTCTGTGGAGCACAGTTCTAATGCAAATGGGGTCTCCATGAACTTTAGGTTATATCAAGGACCAAAGCAAAGATGGGGAAAAGAAAAGTGGAGAAGTGCAAGAAGATTAGGAAGAGGGGTGGGAAGCTGGGGGTGTGGAGGGCAAGCTGTCATTCTTTCATTTTATTGAGGGTGGTCAGGGAAAGAAAGCTTCAATGAGAAGGTGAAGTTTGAATAAAACTAGAAGGAAATGAAAGAATGAACCAAGCTGACTGATATTTTTGGGGAGAATGTTTCAGGAAAACAAACAGCGTCTTTTCTCATGTCTTTCAAAACAATGAGGATTCTCAACTCACATAAAGAATGTAGGAAAAAAATCTTTAATGTTAAATCTTACCTTGATGATAGGAAGAAATCTAATAACTCTGAAATATCCTATTAATACTGTGATCTGAATAAGAGTTATGTTTTCTGGTCTCAATTTGACAGAGTATATACAAAAGATATCAACAAGTCCTATAATCATGATAAAAAACTCCAAGATATTCCAACACTGTTGAAAGTATGTCCTTTTCATGATTATCATCTGTTTAGGGTATTGAAATCCAACAGAATACATGTCATTTCATGAAACCTATACATTGTATGTGTGGGGGTGAGGGGGAACTGGGAGGGTACATCTTAAAAGTTAATAGTCAAGTCCTCAACTACAAATTATACCCCGAAAGTTTAGCTGAAGTTATTTATTTAGAATTTAAAAGCAATATTTTTAACCCTCAATAGCAAAAGTTATATTTTGACTCATAATATATAATCTATAGTGAAGCTGGATTAGCAAAAATAAGCAGTGAAAAATCACATGAAACAGGGTTATTGCAATACTATTGTTGTCGTTGTTTTATGTGCTATGGAGTCGGTTCAGGCACAATGAAATAAAGTGTAAAAATAGTAATAATGATAAGTCATCTGTGAAGCACTAACACAAAGTGGTTCTCTTATTATATCTTAATGTTGTTGTTAAATGCCTTCAAGTCAGTTCCAAGTCAGAGTGGCTGGTGAATTTGAAGCACCAACCTTGCGGTCCAGTGCTTTATCCAACAGTCCTACACCAGGACTCCATATTAGAATGAGGACCTAGTAAACCAATCGGCTTTTATTGACTCGTTTGTTTATTTCTTCATTCCAGAAAGTATTTGAAGGAATCATGTCTGGATTCCAGTTTACTTGATCCTTGAGAGTCTCTGTATGCTTTTCTTACTTGATGTCCTAAACGGTGTCTTATATGCTGAGGATAATTTTACTGATTTAAATATTAAACAGATTCAGAAAATTCAGGAAGAAAATGAACAATTCCAGGATCCCATCAGCTATTTAGAAAATGACTTTTGGTATTAGATTATTTCAATAATATCACAAAAAGGGATCTAAAATATCTGAATTCTTCTATTTATTGACTATCTTTCCATTTTAAACAGTACCTTTAATACTGCCCGTATTACATGGAAAAGCATAAAATAGTAGTTTATTGTTAGGAGTGCTGACACATTTAACTCTCTTGCCATTGGCCATAGATGCACTATCATAGGATAAATATATATTAATGTCATAATATGTTCAGTATATTCAAATTCTTCTGAAAAGACAATGTGATATATAATAAGCAAAACTTTATTATTCCTGCAAAAAAAAGAAAAAGATGATATCAAATAAGATGTCAGGTCACTTAAAAGTATAACAGTTAAGACCTAGAGTTCAACGTTTATTTAAACAATAGTCAAATTATTAGCATTAATTTGAAGAAGTGAATAAATAATATAAAATAATACATGATCTAAAATCACAAGCAGTTTCTAGACATAAAAATCATATTGGGGAAAGATAAAAATATGACTCTTGCTAATCTATATTAGGGATGCTGTTAAGGTTTGAATTATGTCCACCCAAAATATGCAACCATGAATGTAGTTCTGCTAAGAAAGACTTTTCTTTTATTATGTTAAGAGCCCACATCAGAGTAGAGTGGGTCCTAAACGTAATCACTTTTGAGTTATATAAAGAGCAGAATAAACAATGTATAGACACACAGGGAGAGAAAGGAATGTAAGGAACTTTCAGGGCTGTCAGCAAAGATGGTCTCTCCCCTAAAGCTGATGCCCCTGATTTTGGATGTCTAGCCTTCAGAACTGTGAGACAATAAATTCCTGTCTTTCAAGCTACCCACCATCGTATATTTTATTTTAGCAGCACACTAGGGACCTAAGACAAGTGAAGAACATCATTTTTTTTAACAAGGTTACAGTTCATAGAAAAAACTGCAAGCATTCATATAGCAAAAGCAATAAACAAGATAAATTTAGAGAAAAATGGATTACACACACATCAGGATGTTTTAAAATTAAGAATATATAGAAACACAAAGACTACCAATAATTACCATGATATATTTCATTTTAAACATTTCAAGCCATCTAAAGTAGAGTCTAAGAAGAAGAGATTACCTGGATACATGTTATATTTCTTTTTTAAACCTCTTTCTTAAATGGAAGAAAGTCAACAAATGAACAGAATTTGTTATGAAAAATATGGTAATACCTACTTAAAAATTGTAGCATTAACATTGCTGTGACTGTCTTCTTGCTTTGACATCTTCAACTGATGAAGAACTTGGGTTTTGTGAAGTTTACAACTTATATAACGGACCTTCAAAAAATTATTGGAAAAATTCTAATATCTTTTAATTCAATGTTTCCACCAACTTTTTGAAGCCCTTTCATACAGCAAAACAAAGGGTGTACCCAAGCTAAGTAGAATCTGTCTATATCTTGTGATACGTCAGAAAATTGGCAGAAAGCCATGTTGTGTTTTTGACTAATCATAGATACTAACAGAAGCACCCTATGGCACAGATGAAATTTAACTGAAAGCTAGATCTGCATTGTGTTTTTTATATTTAGAATTATAAGTAAGCAGCCCAATATGCAATATTACTTGAAGACACAGCCATATCAGTTTGAAAGATCCAAATGTCTTTTTCTATCTTTTCCTGCCCACCCTCTGATACAGGTCACAATGAGTTACTAAAACAGAAAGGAGAAGGAGAAACGAACACTCTGTTCATTCGTCACATAACAAGCAAGAGTTGACTCTGCCATTAGTAAGTTATTTGTTTGCTTTTTAATAAGAAAAGTAAAGGTGAACTATTTTGACAATTTGACAGTATTTTCAAGTATATTGCAATATACTTACCCCAGTGGACTATAATACGTTTTTTTTTTACGATATTCCAAGAAAGTTAAGATGCTTCTAAATTTCATAAGCCAACTTCTAGCTCTTACATAAGTTGAAACATCATCAATAGTCATGAATCTAGCAAAAGAAACACAAATTTGTTATAATAAATATATGTGGAGAGAAAGAGAGTCCTGGTATGATGCTGAGCCTTTACAAGGTTGCTCTGAATCAGAACTGACTTGAAGGTACTTAACAACCAACAACTATATATATGTTGTTGTTGTTAAGTGCCATCGAGTCGGGTCC